ACCGCGAAGAAGGTGAAATATTTCCAAAATCTAAAACCAGTAGGAATTTTTTATGAAATATTATGAATCTGGGTATCGAGTTATGTTTGTTGAAAAAAGTATTTAGTGTTTTTCCATTCATGCTTTTATGAAGAATAATGGACCACCTAGTCGCTTGTATTTATTAAACAAAAAATTGTTTAGCAAATTTAGTAGTGATTTTTGAAAAATCAAAAAAAGGAGTCAGAGGATCAGTAATCCCAGATGAGAACTTTTTGCACAGGGACGATAAAACACCCTCTTATCTACAATCGTTTTTCGTTTCTGGAAGATCTGCAGGGGTCTATGTCAATTCATCGTGAATCAATTCGCCCCAAGTCAATTCTTCGTAAAGCCAATTCGTCGTATTGTTAATTCTTCGTAAAGGTAATTTGTCGTATACATCAAGTTGTCGTATTTCAGGAATAATGTTAAAATGTATAAATTTACACTTTTCCGTTTAATCAGACATTACCAAACTTACCGATAATAATCCGGTTAGTTTGGGCTAGTTTGCAATTTTATTCAGACATTACATTGCAAACTAACCCAAACCAACCGGGTTAATATCGGTAAGTTTGATAAGTAAGTCTGATTAAAATTTCAAACTATTAACACGTTAATTCGTCGTATTTCAGGTATAATGTTATAATGTTGATGTTAAAATGTATAAATTTGCATTTTTTTCTGTTTAATCAGAGATTACCAGACTTACCGATACTAACCCGGTTAGTTTGGGTTATTTTGCAATTGTGATCTAACCCAAACTAACCGGGTTATTATCGGTAAGTTTGATAGTTTCTGATTAAAATTGCAAACTATTAACACGTTGGCTACCACATGAGTTACGTACCAGTGATGCATAAGATTCAGTAGCTTTTATACCGAAAGGGATGTTTGACCCAATTTACCTCCAATATGAGCTACTTGACGTTACGACGATTTGACGTATACGTCGAATCAACGCTACGACGAATCGACGTATACGACAAATTGACTTTACGACGAATTGACGTATACGACGAATTGACTTCACGACGAACTGACGTTTACGAAGAATTGACTTTACGACGAATTATTGTACGACGAACTGACGTAGGACAGATCGATTTACGACGAATTGACGGTGACTCGCTCTGCGGACAACAATTGCAAAACTGAAATTCGTTTATTTCAGTTTTGCAATTGCAGTTTTAATGCAATTTTCAGCCAAACAAGGAAAGGGTTAAAGCAATGTAGTGAAAAGTCCCACAGTAGTTTTTTTCTGTCTATGGCAAAGGACCCCGCAATATTTAAACGGAAATTGGTTACCCGTGATATTTGGATGAAAGTTAAATATGCTATCGGGTATATCGTAAGCAACATTTTTTACTATGGGCGCAACCTTGTATACAGGGTTATTGGTAATTCGATACATTCCTTTGGAGATGTGATAGGGTATGGGATAAGGAGTAAATTTAACCATAACATGCTTTTTGCAAAACTCAATAGTTTTTGAGATATTTGAATGTTTCTGTTTTTCATGACCTAAAAGCCTTAAAAATTAGTCTACCTTAAATTTTTTCAACAATTCTACTGGATTACTTGCCCAACACTATGGTATTATGTTTGTGATAAAAACTATCCAGAAACATTTCCGTCATAGGGAAATTTTAAATAAAATCTCTTGAAAAATAATGTCTAAAAATATGGTAGGTATGATTTCTTATCGGTTGGGATGTTTTTTTTGAAATTTTCCCATGAGGGAAATGTTTCCGGATATTTTTTATTATGAACATAAGACCATAGTGCTGGGCCAGTAATCCAGTAGAAAAAATAAAGAAATGTACGGTAGATTTTTCGCTAATTAATTTTTAAAACAATTAGGTCTGTGTTCTTAAGAAAAACAAAAACATTGAAATATCTCAAAAACTATTGAATTTTGCATAAAGCATGTTACGGCTAAATTTATGCCTTACCGCATCTCCTATCACATTTCCAAAGGTATGTATCGAATTACCAAAAACCCTGTATATGATAGCTGAGGCGGTATCAGCTGTCAAATATTGAATCTAATATTGAAAAGCAAGGTAAATATGGATGATTTTGATGAAGTAAATATCGTTTTCTACTAAGGGCTGGTTCGCAAATTCAAGTATATCCTGAATATAGGCTACTTAGCATAAAAGTTCATTTTTGAATTCTAAAATGAACTTTTATTCTAGGTAGGCCTATACTAAGGATATACCTGAATTGTCGAACCGGCCCTAAGTCGTTCAAGGTGCATCAAAAAATGTCAACCATTTTGACATCCGTCAAAACCCTGCCAAACGGAATTACTCATATTTTACAGTTTTCAATATTTCATGATGTGTCATTTGACATTTCTAACTTATGTTAATTCTGAGTTCAAAAATTGAAAAAAAGAAATTACGGAACTGTCAAAAGCTGTCTTTTATTTTAGCAGCAAACAAGATTTCAATCTGATTCTTTTTTGTTTCAAGATAGCTTATTGGTGATAAAACATTAAACAGAGCTCATAGACATCAAATTTTGACGGCTGTCAAAATCTGAACCTGTGTATAAAGTTTTTTCATGCTCTACCATAAATAACCATAACTTAATAATTGAAACAGAAGTAAATTTGAGTCTTTTTTCAATTAAAGCTATTGTCAGATTCTGACAGCTGTCAAAATTTAATGTCTATAAACTTTGTTCAATGTTTTATCACCAATAAACTACCTTAAAATGAAAAAGAACCAGATTAAATTTTTTTTCTACTAAAACAAATGACAGATTTTGACAGTTCTGTAATTTTTTTTTTTCAAGTTTTGAACTCACAATTTAAAATGTCAAATGACACCTCATGAAATATTAAAAGCTGAGAAATATGAGTGCTGGCGCTTGGCAGGATTTTGACAGGTGTCAAAATGGTTGACATTTCTCGATTTACCTTGGTCGACTTAGTAGAAATCGATATTTACCTACTTCATCAAAATATGCCATAGTTACATACAGACAATTATTATAGTTACCCTGCTTTTGAATATTAAATTTCAATATTTGACAGCTGATACCGCCTCACCTGTGATATGTACAAGGTTGCGCCCATGGTAAAAAATGTTGCTTACGCCATCCCCAATAACATATTTAAATTTCATCCAAATATCACGGGTAACCAATGAAGACTAGAAGCTGCTGTCTGAAAAGCTAAAGTTACAACATAGCTTTTTTTAACTGTTTCTATCGTCTATGTAAACTCTAAGTGCTAGAAATCACTGTAGGCTCTCAAAAAATAGCCGAAGAGAAGGTTATTTCTTTCACAGGCATATTTATACCTCTCAAAGTCGTCACGAGGCAATAATAGGTTTAGAGAGGGCTTCTCACTTCTAGTTTGGACTCTCTAGAGGTTTGGTTTTCATCTAAACTGTCTGCGACAATTTTGAGGACTAGACATTGCTGTGTGATTGACCAGTTGCAGAAGAGAGAGCTATACCTGTTAAGTTGTTGAAAGTTTGGAGATTGGAAGTTGCTGTCTAGAGAGCTAGACCTACAATATAGCTCCTTTTAACTTTGTCTGTCGTCTATGTAACTCTAAGTGCTAGAAATACTGTAGCCTCTCAAAAAAAAGCTGAAGAGAAAATTTTCTTTAACAGGCATATTTATAGCTCTCGGAGTCACCACGAGGCAGAAATAAGTTCAGAGAGGGCTTCTCCCTTCTAGCTTGGAATCTTTAGAAGTTTGTTTTTCATCTAATTCGTCTTCGACAATTTTGAGGACTAGACATTACTGTGTAAGGGACCAGTTGCAGAAGAGAGAGCTATACCCGTTAAGTTGTTGAAAGTTCGAAGATGGAAGTTGCTGTCTAGAGAGCTAGAGTTGCAATTTAGCTCCTTTTAACTGTGTCTATCGTCTATGTGAGCTCTAAGTGCTAGAAATGACTATAGTTTCTCAAAAAAAAGCTTTTTTCTTTTACAGGCAAATTTATACCCCTCGATGTCGCCACGAGACAAAAATAAGCTTAGAGAGGGCTCCTCATTTCTAGTTTGGACTCTCTATAAGTTTTCAGAGAACTAGAAGCTAAAAATAAGCCTTCGCACAACTGTTCCTAGCTCTTGAGGTTGACATGAAATAAAACAAGTCGAACATGTAGTACTCCACTACAAAACTAAACTTTACCTTGACATCGTTTTTCATTCAACTTTGAGATCAAGAAATTACTGTGTGAGGAAACAGAGTTGTAAAAGCAAAAGAATGCCAACTATAAATTTTCTTCCTATTTCTCGACAATTTCTAAGATCTTAAAGAAACTTTTGAAAGAGCTGTCAAAGTCCAAAAGGTGAAATTCTCGTCAAAATTCTGGCTACCTCATTGTTTTTCCTGTCTCTCAAAGCCAACAAATAAGTACTAGGAGGGGCCTCTCCACTACGCCTGGAATCTCCTGAAGCTGGTTTCGGCAACTTTGATGTGGACTAGAATATACCGTGTTAAGAGCCGAAGAAGTCGCTGTGTGAAAAACCAGAGTTGTGAAATTGCGAGAAAAAGCAACCTTTCAAGGTTTTTGTATTTAGAAAGCATCATTCATTAGCTACCTATTTTTATTGAATAAGTTTTCAGGAATGAAAGGCAATCTTTAGACTGGACTCTTCTTTGCAATTCCGATTACCGAACAGCTATTTTTAGCTTTTCAATGCGATGGGTTCATAAAGAAGTCAAGAGTTCCTTCTCATAGGCTGGTTTTTTTGCCTCCAGAAATTTTTGTACCGTTTCAACCGAGGTTTCAATCTTATAAAAAAAAAATAATTTTTCACATTTTGATGTTCTTTTTTTTTTTAAGTTTGTTAATGTTTCTTCAAACACATATAGAATGTAGAACGAAAACGTATTGTCGAAAATAACAGTTGTATTAGAAAAACAAAACAATTAAGTCTCATGAAAGGTTTGAATTGTAGTGAATACAATTCATTAAAAAGCTGTATTAAAACTACCCCAATGTTACTTACCCAATAACATAGAACGCACGTTCCAGGATCGAACACAGGGTCGATAATTTCGGCCAGGTTGTCGCCTGCTGCCTGAGGGAATTCGTCTTTTTTTTTTTTTTTTGGACGAAATCACTAGGAATCAGGCCCGGCCGGTACTCAGTCAATGACGCCGTTCGCGCTGCGTTGCCAGTTTTGTTGCCCGTTTGGCGATCAGCTGCAAAACAAAATTGCGGAAATGAGGTTGTTTGAGAGTCGTGTGGTGTTTTGCTTGGGTAAACATTTGAAATGGTGTAAGAGCAAATACGTTTGGTTTTGTCTATTAAGGCGTTTCGGGCAAATGAGAATGTTGCAGGAACTATAATAGGAAAAAAATCAGGTTTTTTGTCTCGGTAACGGTTGTAGTTTTTAAGAGGATTGCAGTAATTGCTATTGTTTTAGTTAGAAACTTTTAAATAGATTTGCATTATTTTCTTCCTTGGTCGTATTTTCAATCGAACATGATAGATTTTTTAACGCTTCAGCAGCTTTCTTTAGGAAGAGGTTCATGCAAGTGATTTCATAAATGTGCAGTCAGAAGTTTTTCTTCAAACCGCGCGAAAACAATTCGAAGGTTTTTTTGAAACATTTCAGAGTAATATCCATTCTCAGTTATTTTAGAAAAAAGTTTGTCTCTAAGCAACCAAAAACGAGTCGTTCCACAACTGTCATCATTAAATTTGCTTATTACACATTGCTAATGATAAAGATTTATTATAGTAAATATGAAATAGACTCAAAATAAGATGTATAAAGCTGTACAATCTTTGAAAAAAATAACATAACCACAAGTATAAGCATCAAAATCTTACCAAAAATCCTCAAATAAAATATCCAACTATCTTCATCAAACAGAAAAAAAATATATACAAAAATATCCGGGATTACTACGATATCGTCGCCAGTCTGGCAACACTGTAAGCGTGAACTTCGCGTACCGACCTTTACTGCGAGCACCTCGGTTACGTTGCTGTCCTGCTGCGGGCCGCAGGAGACTCAACTTAGGCTTTCAGAGCTCGCGTCGTCGACGAGGTGGTACAACAAAATACCCGGAGCAGAGGCCAAGAAGTGCCGCTTATAGTAGGATGACCACGGTACCATCATCATCCGTGGTGCGCTAGAGGTTGGTGGGTGGGTGGGTGGATATGTGCAAGATAAGGTTAGATCAGATATTGGTATTGGCGCACAATTATTTTTCCAGCGGACTCTATGTTTTTGATGTTGATGAGAATCGAGATTTTCTTCTTCAGCTTTTTTAAATAAAATATAATTAGTTGACATTTCAGCAACAAATTTGCTTGGCAAGTCACATATATCCAGAATATTCGTAAGTAGTGTAGTGGCTTGTCGCTCAAAAATAGCTCAATACTTCGGTTTTTGAGTAAAAGCAAATCCTTCTCAGTAGTTCTCACAAGTGAAAGAACATGTCAGAATTAGATCTTTGAACAGACCCATCTCAAAAAGTCATGCTTCCCCTACCTCGAAATTGAAAGTGGTTGAAATTAAAATATAATAAAAACAGCTGGGATATCGAATATTTCCAATAAGAAAGACATAAGAAAATGCAAGTTTTTCAAAAATCATATAAAAACAGGATGTTGCTTTCGCATTTAAAAAACCCTTCATCCATGGCGTAAGTCTTTTCTTTTGGATGCAAGTGTTTTTTTGATTGACAGAGATCGGGAATCCGAGTGGCTTAAGTTCTCGAACAAAACAAGCTGTGCTGATAAAAATAAATTGAAGCCCAAGAAATTATATAATGTCTTCTGTGCTGGGATTTTAATTTTTGGTATTTAGGGCGTGCATTCGGGCCTTGTTGAATCTGCTTACACTTTCCTACCCTGACTGAGCCAATATCCTAACAACCAAATAAAATGATCAGTCTAGAGATATTGGCTCGAAAATAAAAACTATAGCTGAGTAGCCTCCCGAATGGGACCTCAGTCTGCTGATGCGACTAGCTAACTAACCAATAACTCTTCAGTATTGAATGTATGTGTGGAACTGAAATTTTAGCACAGGAACGGTACCTTAGTTCAACTTTTATTGACTTACATATTATTAAAATGTCACAGTAGGTATGTTTTGATTTTTGAGGAATTGAGATCGAGGGTTTCTCTGCCGTGCTCTTTCTCCTCGTAAATTCCAGGTTGAGAACGGTACGATTTTCTTTAATAATTAATTAGACGTTTCACAAATTTTTCGTTTATTTTACATATCACAAATTCCCTCAAAGGACCCTGCTCAAAGTATAAGAAAATTGTGTGTATGTCAGAATTGGCTGAATTTTGTATATAATGTAGATCACCCCTTTCTGATTAAAAGTTACCATTGCACCAATCCTGAAAAATTACTCCTTTTTGAGAAAATTAATTTCATAGGTAGCAAGTAAAACGCTTGGGAATTGTAATGGACGTTCAATGTAGAACGAAAAGGTAAGCTTGTGGCGCAGTGGTGTGCTATATGGAGTCATTTTTCAGGATTGGCGCAATGGTAACTTTCAATCAGAAAGGCTACATTATATACAAAATTCAGCCAATTCTGACATAAACACAGTTTCCGTATACTTTGGGCAGGGTCCTTTCCCCAATTTTGCTATTGTTGGGCGCATGTCAAGTAAGTAAAATTGAGTGGGTTTCGACAACGTAGGTATTTTTTTTTTCATTTCGTTTTTCAGAATATTTGTTTAAAGAAGAGATAATAAGAATTTAAACCGTTCAATCTTGCTGATCGAACCCGGGTATGTTATACTCAGTATGTTTTTCCAAACGAATGTTTGGGAAGCTTTTTGGAAAACATGTTGTGGTCGATGGTGTGTCTTCTTATACACTGCCTAGAAATGCCGGCATTCCCCAAGGCTCATTCTGTCCCCAACACTCTTTCTCATTTTTATAAATAATTTATTGAATGTGACAATCCCCATTTCAGCGTCGCGGACGATAGTAGCTCGATGGCATCTTTCTCTTCTGATAAACCGCTTACTCCAGCCACTTTATCAACAGTGATCTTGACGTCATTAACAACTGGGGCCTTCACAACCTAGTCAATATCAATGCTTCCAAAACTCAAGCAACAGTATTCTCAAATAGGAAATCTCTCGCTGATGATTCAATTCAATTCAATTCAAAAAAAGCTTTATTGTCGAAATATTTTACAAAATCATTGACAAAGCATCTAAACTAGCTAGCATAATACATAATACACAGGTTCTTAACTTGAAATAATCAATGTCATGCCCTTAAAACTAAATAAAAATATTTTAAATATTTCGCGTCGAAAACAGAACAAAACAAAAGTAAAAAAATATACAAGTAACAAGAAACAGTGAGAAAGGCAAACAACTTAATACTTAATATATATGTGCTGTAGATAAAACCAGTAATTAAAAACGAAAAAGATGAAAAAATATAAAATGAAACAAAATATTCACAATCACCAGTTAAGGAACTCGTAAGTGCAGATATTATTGACAATACTTATAAAAAACGTATAATAATGCGATGGATCAAAAATAAAATTCCAAAATGCCCTGGAAATCAAAAAGGTAAGGGCAAGTTTTTGTGCCTCAGGTTGTACTGTACTTCTCTTTCGAACCCCTGGAACTTTTTAAATATTAAGCATACAGTCTCCAATATAAAAATACACGGAACCGTTAGAATTTAATGCTTGATGAAAAGAGGCTTACAGCTTTCCCTGCATTCAACCTGGCAAAGATATCTCAAGGTTGTTTTTTGTAAAACAAAAACTGACGACTGAATAGAGCTTTGTGTTGAATATCCCCAGAATGCTATGCCATATCTCAAATGAGATTCAATTAGGGCATGGTAGGCTGTCTTAGCTGAAAGCTTTCCTAGTGCGTGGACGAGGATCCTTATAATATAACAACCCTTAGGTAATTTTTCATCGAGTTTCGAATCTATGTGAAGTCCCAGAAAATTCACTATAGGTACATCTTTTTCTTCCAGACTATCGTCGCAAAGTGTGAGGCCGATAAGGGAGCACTTGAATGAAAGAATATTTGTTTTTTTGACATTAAACACAAGACAGTTAGCATCGCGCCACCTTACACACCTTACACAAATCCTGTTCTACCATATTCGCCAAAACGTTGTCATCTTTATGTTTCCAAAGAATTGTGGTGTCATCTGCAAAAATTAAAAATACCCCCAGTATCGACAGCCTGGCTAGGTCATTCACGTAATTAAAAAATAAAATAAGCCCAAGAACAGACCCCTGCGGAACGCTATGTGTCAAATTTGAAGTTTCTGATTCACCTTATCAGATTTTCTGACAAATTTACTACCCCGGCAAGGTATGACTCAAACCACTCCAATTCTCTCCCCCTAATGCCATAATGACCGATCTTGTGCAGCAGTATTTTGTGATTTACACAATGAAATGCTTTGGAAAAATCACAAAACACCGCCGCTGCCATTTCGCGATCATTTAACCCAAAAAAGAGTTTCTCTGAAAAGGAGAAAATAGCATCTTGTGTAGGTACCCCTTTGCTCTTGAAATGTTGAGGACTAAGGATATTGTTGTTACCAAGAAATTCTACCAATCTTGCTTTAGCAACTTTTACTATAATCCATGAAAGGATAAAAAGCATAGATATGGGTCGGTAGTTAGAGGGGTCTTGATCATCACCGCCTTTAAACATAGGAATAACAATAGCTAGCTTCAGACAATCCGAGAAATGACCTATTTCAAAAGAATGATTAATACAATTTACGAGTGCTGCAAGTCCATCTTTTGGCAAGTACTTGAACAGTCTCAGCGATAAGCCATCCACTCATGATGAATTTTGTTTTTTTATGCTTCTAATTATGCTCTTAACTTTTGCAATGCTAGTGGGGGTTAACCTGAAATGTCCCGCTGACGTAAAGCGTGGTAAAAAACTTAGCGGATCTTTGTTCGGTTTCAAGATTCTTGGTAATTTACCCGCCACTGTGCAGTAGAAGTCGTTGAGATCTGACGGAGTACACTAACTTTGTTTGGAATGTTTGTTTTTGAATTTTGATGTTTCCCCCCATTTCATTTAGTATTTTCCAATCTATTTGAATTATTTGCTTTGGTTATTCTTTCCTGCTCGAATAATTTGTCTATAAGTTTTGCGATACAAAACAGAATAGTTGTTAAACCATTCAGATTTAGCAAATTTTCTTATGGTGTGTGAGTATCGAAGATTTTTACCAGAAATTTTTATTGCCTTTGAAATCCATAGTTTTGTAGGTTTGAATTTTATTTTACGCAAAGGAAAACTTCTGCTGAAAACGTTCACCATTCGCTTTTGGAAAAGTGCCACCGGATCAGTCGCCGAACCCTGCATACCATCCCAGTCAATGGTGTTTACCAAGTTTCTAAATGTTCTGAAGTTTGTGGTACTGAATATTCTGGTTTTCTTTGGAATTTTTTTTCGCTTTTCGTGATCAAATACTATTTCCACCGTAAGAGCTTCGTGATCTGTAATTCCTGAAGGAATAACGTTACCGATTAAATCAGTCTGCTCAATATTACTACATCAGATATAGTCGATTGTTTTTGCTAAATGGCCAGTTATACGTGTTGATTCATTTAAAAAGACTCCAAGGTTAAAGCAAGTTAATAAATTAATTAAAGATTTTGTGTCTCTCGAGACTTTATCGTCACAGTCAATATTTAAATCTCCTGCTAGAATTAATTTTGAGGAGACAGTAACGTTTCCAATGATTCCAAAACTTAGAGGGGTTTGCCTGAAGTCCTGAAGGAGGACGGTACACACAAATTATATGTATGAACATTCATTAATGTTTATAATTGAAAATTTAAATTTATTTTGTATAATTAGGTCATTGTAAGAAATCTGAACCTCGAAGCTATTTACAAATGTCTCATGAACCAGCACCATTTTGCCTCCATAACCGCCTCCTCTACAAAACATTGAAATAATTCTATAATCAGGAATAAAACAAATCTCATCTTCTCTCATAAATTTGTAAATTATCGTCGTTTTCTGTGACAATAAAAAATGTTTCGATGCAAATGCAGGAATCTTTTCAGCAATTCGTGTTTTTGCAGTATATTTCAGTACCATGTCGCCGAGCCGAAAGAAAAAATAACAATAGTTTAAAAATGAGTTAACATTGCGACTATTCTTTTGATCTGAACAAACTGATTGTAATCACATCAGGTTTGTTTATGAGGTGTCCAAAAAACAGTTAGGGCCAATGAAATCCTTGTAAAACCAGATGACAAACGTTTACTGAATAAAAATAAATGTTGCAACCATGTAATACGCCGTCAAGTAGGGACGAACCTAGAGGCACTACAGAAAAAGCGTACGAAAGGGAGATAGAGAATACGCAACTAGACTACAGAACAAGCTGGGGCTGTTCCTTTAGACGCGTGTCTGTAATTATTCATTATTCAATTTTCATTTCTATTTTGCATTAAAATTGATTGTTCAATCCAATTTGTTATTAGTGTGTGTGTAAGGAGCGTTCACAGGTTAGTGGATTAAATGTTATTTTGTTTTTGAGAGTTCATTTTATGCAAGTTCCTATTATTTTGTTCATTTTTATGTATTTTTTGTTTGTTTATAACATGTGCATTGTTCATTTATTTAACAAAAATCGTTTCATACAGTAAACAACACAGATAAAGAAGTAAATTAGAACCTAAGAAATTATGTGCTGCCTTTTTGTGCTGAGATTTTGATTTTGTGGATTTAAAGCGTGCATTAGGGCCTTTATGAATTTACTAACATTTTCCTACCCTGACGAGAGAATATCCTAGCAAATTGAGAAGAATCGATCTAGAGATATTGGCTCAAAAACAACTATAGCTGAGTAGCTTCCCATATGGGACCTCTGTATCTGTTGGGAAACTGGCTAACTAACCAAAAACTCTTCAGTATTGAATATAGGTAGTTTCAGTGTGTGTAATTGAAATTTTAGCACAAGAACAGGGGCGGTACCTAATTTAAACTTTCATAGACTTAAATTATTGAATTAATAACTCACAATTATAATTAAAATGACACAGTTTCGATTTTTGAGGAATTTTAGATCGAGGGTTTCTCTGCCGTGCTCTTTCCCCTCGTTAGTTCCAGGATGAGAACGGTACGATTTACTTTAATGATAAAGTAGACGTTTCACAAATTTTTCGTTTCTTTTACATATCACAACCTCCCTTAAATTTTCCTAATATTTGCTATGTCGGGCGCATGTCCAGTAAGTAAAATTGAGTAAGTTTCCACAACGTAGGTCCTATTTGTTCTTCATTTTATTTTTCAGAAGATTTGTTGTTTAAAAGGTAATACAAATTCTCATCGTTCAATCTCACTGAGCGAACCCGGGTATGTTATACTACAGTGTCAAATGGTAAATGAGGACTCGGAAGTTATTATTATGATCGATAATCCTGCTCTCACCGAGTCATTGCAATCTCTCGAACATAGACTTGTCGTTATTCTAGTAGTCTCAGCAAATGGTAATTTTTGGTAACATGAGTGCGGTAGAAGGTTTTTCAACGGAATTATATGCTTTTTGGGGTGCTAAATACGAATCTGAAGTTTGCTGCCTCGTGGTTTTGCCGAAAATTGCGAAAAACCTCGAAATTGCCAGACTTCTTCCGGTTTTCTGGTCATATCTTGCAAGCGACGCATCGTACGGAAAATATCATGGTATTCAAAGTTAAAGAGCATAAAATCCTGCGTCGAATGACTCTCCTACTCTTAAATTTGTAAGCTCGCCATCGTCGGTCAGGCAAAGCCAATTTTGATGAATTTTTATGAAAACTGCAATAAACTTACTTTCGACAGTGATTTCAAAAGAACCACTCTACGTAAAAAAATCTTTGAATAAAAGTTATACTTAACCAAATATTGAGTTCATTGAGCACCAATATTTTAAATTTGGATCAATATATACGCATATACTGATCATTTCTTCATTTCCCTCTAAATGCTTATTTGACGAAATGAAGGGGTCCAATAATAAAAAGTCTGTACCTGTCAATATAAACCCCCCCCTACTTCTCAAACCCCACTTGTCAACCCTAAATTACTTCCCCCTCCATTTTTTGTAAGTCTGACTTGAGGATTTATAAGTATTTTGTATGTAGATGTAATAGGAAGTAATCTAGCTAGGTTTGCAAGATTGTCGAAAGGGAACTCTAAGCATAAGCATAAACCTAAGAGCTTTTTTTGTAAAATAAATATGGAGTTGAAATTTGTAGTACTGCAACAGCTCCAAAATACAATTCCATAAGTAATGTGTGACTTCACCAGAGAAAAATATGCGGTCCTTGTCTTGAGAGCTCGCAGCTCCAACAATCAGTAGGTACCCATTCACAAAAAAAAAATATTTACTCATTTATTACATTCAGATTAACAAGATGAGAGAATATACGTTTACATACTATGTACCTACATATTGTAGGAAAAATCATAGGAAGACCATATAGTCAGCTGAAGAAAAAGAGCAACTAAGTTGTAGTATAGTGTGGAGATACGCTCTATGAAGAATGTCTGACAGAAATGTCCATTTTATTTTATTTTTCTTCCTAAGTAAGTTTATTACAATTAAAATTGGATTTTTTGGACTGACGATGGTGAGCATATAAATTCAACAGTAACAAGGTTATAGGGCCATTCGACGCAGAATTTTATGCTCTTCAACTTTGGATACTATGACATTTTCCGAACGATGCGTCGTTTGCAAGATATGACCAGAAAACCGGAAAAGTCCGAAAATTTCGAGATTTTTCGCGTATTTCAACCTGAGCCGGTACTGCTACGAAGCAACAAACTTCAGATTCATATTCAGCCCCCCAGAAAACATACAACTCCGTTGATAACCCTTCTGCCGGACTCAGGTTACGAAACAGGCACTTTTGAACACCATTTGATCAGACTATATCGCATTTATATCATGGGAGATGTTCTGACGATCTGGCCAGCCTTATTCCAGTTAGGAGAAGTTATTTAAGAAACCACAAGAACCTCACAGGCATCCCATCCGTGTGTGGTAAAGTTGGCTACGCCCAGAACCTCTACATATAGGGCTTCTTTTTAGTGGCGAACTGTCCACTTCTGGAACTCCTTGCCTCCTACCTCATTTCCTGAACCATTTAACCTTAACGTCTTCAAATGAAGGGTTAATTTTCACTTAATTTCTTCTGCTCATGGTAGTAAAGACGTCGTTTTTTGTGAGCGGACCAATATTTAAAAAAAAAAGAAGATGGTGACATAATATGTCTTTTTCTAGGTGCTGTAGATCATACATGTACAAACAGAAACCTTTTCGTCCAAAGTATCTGGTATCTACTTAAAAATGATATTTCTCCTTTCAGACATTTTTAGACTCAGAGAAGATGTTTGGAATAAAGATCTCATCGCAACTTTCTGATTCCTATTTTTTTTTTTTTTTTTTCATTGGGAATAGTTAATTTTGAAGTAAAAATCCCAGTGAAATATTTCACACTTGACAATAATCTATGGTTAAGTGATAAGTATGTGCACCAAAAACTATGCTGTTAAAGGGAGCACTTTGTAATGGCAATGTAATTACACATCCTAATTTTCCATTACAAAGATTCCTAATGACATTCTCCTATTAGGCTATCAATTTCTATCAAAATTCCTTTCCTCTAACGAACTGAACGGTCCAATTATCTTCGCTCAGCGGTCGTGTCTTCCGTGACATGGCCAAAGGGCAAACTTTTTGCAGTTTAGGCCTGCAACGGCTCATCTTCAGGTCACGGCTTCTTCTTCGCCCGGTTACTGACCTTTCTCCGGTACTCTCTTGTACCTATAGGCGAAAGGATTTTTTTGCAAATGTTTTTTTTTTCTGAACAAATAAAAAGATACTTTTGTAAATATTGCTTTGAAATAATTGTGTGATATATTGTTTAACCTTCGATATTTGGCCAAGGCGAAAAATATTCCAATGAAGATTTATCTGTTATTTCAATAGAAATAAAAAAATGTTTTCGAAACCACAGACATGGTTTTTATTTAATTCGTAGCCAAATTACGTATTTTATTTTTTGCCCTTACTAAAAACTTCCTAGCTTACCATTTTTGGTAATCATATCTCTAAGCCAAAAAAATAATTCTTAGTACAATGGACCATTTATATTAATACCGGCAAATGTTGTGACTGGCATTGAATCGATCAAAAGAGTCCAAATTTAGATAAATGCGTATGCAAATTGAACTTGACTTTGTATTGATATGTTAGGTTAAAACGTGACAGAAACATTGAATCAGAGTTTTCAAAATCGAATATGGCAGTATTATGAGTAATCATTATTATTTTTCCTTGTTAATATATTAATTTGGTTGCAGATTGTTATGGTAAATATGAACTTGGAGATCTTAATTATTGAGTCGGATAATTTATCATGTAAGGAGTAAAGTAAATAGAATCAGCTTTAGATCAATATTTATTCAATTTAATTATCACATACTGTTGTTCCTATCGGCTTATAATTACACTTATTATTCTTTTTTGATCCTTTGAGACCAATATTTTGCCAATGCCAGTTATCACAACCATCCTCGGCACAAACTACTGAAACAGCAATAGCATTGGGTTCTACATTTCCCCAAATATTTAAAATTTTTAAATTTTTAATTGGAACATTATCCAGTGGTTCTCCATGGCTTGGATAGTTTTGTTCTATGAAAATTCCATAGTTTTTCACATCCTTTACATCAAGGTTTTCATAAGTAACATTTTCAATTATTCCATAACCTCCTTCGTTATGAGTTTTAATATGTATAACGTTCTCACCTCCATGTACAATTGAATTAGAAATGTGTACATTGGACAAAGTGTTTAGAGGATTATCTTTTATGGAATCGTTACTAAAGCCTACTGAAATACTTAGACCATGAGTTCCGTAACATTCCATATCGTGTACTGTAATATCCGATCCTAAAAAAGTTGCTCGTGAGTAATAAAATAGATACGTCAAAAACGATTACGGCTTACCACATCTAATAGCCACACAATCGTCTTGATTGTAGACAACAGAGTCGTGGATTAAAACATGTGTTGAGTTCCAAATGTCAAAAGCATCAGTATTTTTGCCATATTTGCCTTTTGGAGCAACATCCTATTGAACAAAAGAAGAAAAACAATGATTAAGGTAGAAATATTAATGATTTTTTTGTTATAAATGCAGACATCTACTTAAACACATGTTGGTGATAGAATGCCTATCTGTTGAAAGGGGTGGAATCCATAAATGCTAAGAATTTTGTCTGTTTTATAAATAAATATTGATATGCGAAAGCAGTTAATTGCCAGTTAACTACAAAGGACCAATTTGACAGTATTTTTAGGGTTTTTATTCGACACTGCGACATTACAACCTAACTAAACCATCATTAGTGGCGTGAGATTAGTTTCCAGAACGTGAATAAATGATTATCCAAATCGACGACACAAAAACCACGACAAAGTTAGCACTATATCATTTTGAATTTCTTCAATCAAACTTAACTCTAAGCAAAGCTATATAAAGCCTGGCCGGCGACGTCTGAGGGACAAAGAGGAGAAAAATGGCGGACACATGGTAGTGAACCTTGTCAAACTTGTTTTTATGAAAGTAGTCATAATGGATTTCATTCATCTGCAGCCAATCGCCCTATTGTTGTACTGTCAAGGGAAGGAGTTGACGCACCTGTCATTTTTTTGTCCGTATTCTTTCCGTCGGCGAATTTATATTAGTCAGACTTTAGCTATTACTGATGTTCTAGCTGTTTAATCTAAAACTTATAAAGCTCCCAACTACGTCGCAGAGCCTTTTCGAAGCTGTAGATACTTTCAGTTTCATTGACTCATCTCCGCGGGACAGAAAAGGAAGGGACTACGAAATCACACATACCATGAGAAGGACCATACAAGATCGACGACTTGATGTCAAGCCAAACCAAATATTCGCGGCGAACCAGCTCTGAGGATGTGTAATCAACCATGGGAAGTACATCGTCGCAAAATTTACGTTTTCCCGTTTTGGAAATGGTGCACATTCTGATAACACCCTATAGGGGTTTCGTAAAGATGACCCCAGAAATCCAGAAATATACGAAATCTCAACTCCCTCTACTGCTTCAAATCACAGATATAGTTCTGAACGCCTCTTTCAATCCTGCCCTACTCCCTATACCACCTGGGATTTTATTCTTGATACCAAGGAACGGCGTTCTCATGAGAACGATTGCTCTGTCATTGTCCGTGTTATGGAAATATGGATACGGACGATGATGACAGAACCGTCGTTCTCATGAGAACGCTGGTCCCCTGTTTCGAGAATAAAGTCCCTGATTTCTACTAGAAAAACATCGAACAAAGATCTTATCCAAGTGACCTTCGTCGTTTCAATGTTCCAAAAAAAAAAATTAATCTGAATTGTATTTACTCTGGATATAAATGAAGTAGGTACCTATTTATTGTGATTTTATTTCTAAATTATCATATCTTTTACCTACTCATATAATTAGTTACCTTACCTCATTTCCTGCAGTATCATTTATAAACCAATTGAAATAAGTCACATTGTCAGAGTTGGTGATTTGCAGGACATCATGAGGAGAGTTGAGGACATAAATATTTTTCATAACAGAATGAAAAGTCTGGACAGTGAAAAACTGAGGCTTTAGTACTCCATGGTCTCCAAGTCCGTCCCAGTAATATTGACCTTGGCCATCAAAAATGTGACCTGAATATAATAAAAACATTTAGGTACTACTGATAAAATAATCCATTATTATCGTTACCGTCCTCTCCTTCTATAGTCAATCTGGTTCCATTGATAGTTACAAGAGGGCCTCGCCAAGGATAAGAATACTCAAAAGTCGTCTTTCCCTTGAAAACAACTCTGGCTCCATCTGTTAGGTTTAGTTTCAAAGTATTTCCACTAGGTACCGTAAGATTCACTATGGATATATCATCACAATTTCTTGTAGCATCGAACACTTGTTCAAACTTTGTCACTAGGCAATCGTCCGCGAACAATTGTTTGAAAATAATAAAGGAGAATACTAAAATGTAATGTAGTGTTCTGAACATGATCGGTTAGTGAGTGATTATTATTTTGTGTGCAATTTTTTTTAAATAAGTATCCACTTAAGATTATATAAAAACAAAACCACTTCACGAGATAAAGCGGATTCAATTCAGAAATAACAGTTTTATGAAAATCTTGCTACTCAAAACATGTAAGTGCCTTAGACCTGGCTGCACAGGAGGGATAGTATTTTTTTTGGGAGTGATATTTGCAATTTTCAATGCCTAAACGTGGCTCTTCATTAGAGTATTTTGGCGCTCTGTTCGGAAAAATTATGCTTGGAGACAGGTACTGAGTAGGCGAATTCTGTGGTGCGGCTCGGTTCGTTCGGACCAAAATGCTCGAATAAATACCCACCTTAAGAACATGAAGTCTTGATCAGCGTCTTCTTCCAGTTCAACGTCTTGTGACTCAAATGCATTGCGAATTCGCAATCGAAGTGCACTTCTCAATGTTATCATTGTGGTGTTGCTTCACAATTGGGCCACTCTGTAAGATAGGAAATGTCATGTCATGGATTTGTCATGTGTGGTCATTGAAATACCTTGTTGGTTTATAGTAATCTGTTTTCTGGCCCTAAAATAAAGTCCCGTGTCCAGTAAACTGTTCTAATGTTTTATTGTCAAAACATTAAGTAAATACATAGCATATTTTGGCGACGAGTTAGTGACTTCGAATCCATTCCACATCAGCAGTGTTGTTGCTGTGTGGTGCTTTCAATTTAATTTGTACAGTGTAAGTTCCTATTTATAATGGCATTAATAGGAAACATAGAACCATTTAATCCGGAATCTTGTGACTTTGTGAGTTGGCTCGAACGTCTGGACCAACTGTTTATTTGTAATGAGGTTCCAGATCAGAGAAAAGTAGCAATGTTCATAACTTTGTTAGGAGCTAATACTTATGAAGTGCTTAAGAATCTTTTGGCACCTGATTTACCCAGCAACAAAGATTTCGAGACTCTGAAAACGTCCATTCCAGTAACAATTATCATTGCGGAAAGATTTAAATTTTATAAGTGTACTCAAAATCCAGCTGAGCCAGTGTCATCTTTTGTGGTAAAATTGAAAAATGCTGCAAAAGACATGCTCTTTTATTACTTTTCTACTTCTTATCAAAGAAAATTATTAACTGATAAAAACTTGACATTCAAGTCAACTGTGGAATAAGCTTTAAGTTTTGAGCTAGCAGAAGCTCTATCAAAATTATTGCAACCAGGTAGTAGTGTCCAGGGCGTTAGTGCAGTTTATACAAAAAAAAATGTTGGTCAAGGTGCAGGTTCTAGGAGGTTGGTGAGAAATATTAGGCCTGTGGGTAGCCAGAAGTGTTTTCGTTGTGGAAGAGCCTATGAGCCAACTACATGTCCTGCTATGGATTGGAATTGTTTTTCTTGTGGAAAAAAATGCACGTTTCATCAATGTGACGCGCAAAAAGTCTACATAACTTAGATGAACCAGAGGCGTTTGAAACTGCTTCGGGTGCCTCTGAATATGTTGAGCAGTTCGACTCGAATGATGTTCTGGCACGATTGGTAGCTTTAACTGGTCCCAATGATGCAAAAAAAATGAGCCTGCAACTGAATGGTAAGATCATTGTAATGGAAATTGTTTCAGGAGCATCAAGGTCAGTGATTTCCGATGTAGTTTTTCAAAAATTGTTTAGAGGTGTTAGTTGTAAGTTAAGTGTTGTGACAGGTCAATCAGTTTCAGTAGTGGGGAAAATGTTTGTCAGTGTTTGTTTTAATAATCAAAAGTTTGAATTACCCTTATTAGTCATAGATACTGAGAAAAATTTTACACCTCTGCTAGGAAGTGATTGGTTAGATAATGAGTCCAATGTGTAAAAAATAATATTAGGTCTGTTTCTGCAGAAATCACAAACCAGTCGGAGCGAATTTCATTGGTTGAAAACAGTCAGAAACAGTCAGAAAACTAGTTTCAACCAATGAAATTCACTCTGACTGGTTGGTGATTTTTGCAGAAACAGACCTATTTTTATTAATAATGTGTCAACATTTTTTGAAGTGAAAATACTAATGAAAGCCAAGCATTTTCTCATTTTGCAGCAATGTTTCCATCAGTATTTTCAAGTTCTACTAAGGAACCCATAAAGGTGTTTGAGATTAAATTGAAACTCAAAGAAAATTCAACTCCTATTTTCCGGAAACCTCACAATGTACCATTTGCTTTACAAGAAAAATTAAAACTTAAGCTTGATGAGATGGTTGATGAGGGTACTTTGGTTCCGGTAAGTACCCGTGATTGGGCGAGTCCTATTACAATTGTACCAAAAAAAAAATGGGGAAATCAGGGTATGCGTGAATTTCAAGGTTACCCTAAACCAAGTGTTGCTTCTGGATATACCTATATCTTCTCCCAAATATAAATGACCTTTTAGCAAAATTGGAGATTCTATATTTTGTATCCTCGATTTATTGGGTGACTATCAACAATAATTGTCTGTGGATACCTCTTCTCAGGAACTTTTGACCATTAATACAACTTTTGGGTTGTATAGATATACTCGGCTAACTTATGGGATTGCCAGTGCCCCAGCAATTTCTCAAATGACTATAGATAAAATTTTAAGTGGTTTGAATGGTGTTATTTGTTACTTGGATCTTGGATGACACTTTGGTCATGGGTAAAAAATTTGCTGACTGTTAAAAAAATGTGTGTCAGGTGCTGTCTCGAATGGCAGAGTATAATGTGAAAGTGAACATATCAAAATGTAGATTTTTTTGTAATTCTGTAGAGCATTTGCGCCATAGGATTGATGCCGAAGACATACATCCAACATCTGAAAAATTTCAAGCAATTTTAAATGCTCCTGACCCAAAAAACATTTTTGGGTTTATTAAATTTTCATAATAAATTTCTTCCTATGTTGTCATCGGTCTTGAAACCCTTATACCATTTATTAGAGAAGGGAGTGGAATTTAATTGAGATAAAGCTTGTACGGAGGCGTTTTCTGTTGGAAAAAAATTAATAATAGACAATCAAGTGCTTGTCCATTATGATCCGGTGAAACCCTAAACTAATTTGGTACTCCAGTTCTTATGAAGTTGGGGCGGTACTGTGTCATACCATAAATAGTTTTGATAGACCCATATGGTTTATTTCTGGTACTCTCTCTGAAGCAGAAAAAAATTAATCTCATCTAAAGAGAGAAGCACTGGCAATTGTTTTTGCTGTAAAACGCTTTCATAGATTCTTGTATGGGCGTGCGTTTATTCTAGTTTCAGATCATCAGTCTCTAAAAATAATATTTAACCCATCAAAATCCTTGCCTATTGCAACATCAAGAGTAACCCATTGGGCTGTATTCTTGTCAGCTTATACTTTTAACATTGTTCTCAAATTGGTCATGCTGATGATGGTTTGTGAAGACTGCCCTCACCTGCTGTGACTGACGTGTTGCATATAAATTCTTTGAATCTTTTAGATAATGTCCCAATTACCTCTTATGACATTTATTTTCGTACAGACAAGAATGTGGTCTTATCTAAAATTAAGGATCTAATTGTGCGTGGTTGGCCACAATCAATATCGGATTTGGATTTAAAGCCCTACTTTAAAAAAAAAACTTTCAGTGGAGAGAGGATGTATATTGTGGGGTAGCCGTGTAATAATTCTAACAACCTTGATATCCAAATAGTATTAAGTCTACTTCACGAAAGTCATATTGGTGTTGTAAGATTTAAAATGCTGGCTCGTTCTGTGTTCTGGTGGCCAGGTTTATCAGATTATATTGAAGAATTTATTGGCAACTGTGAAACATGCCAGTTGACGCAGAATAATTCACCTGAAAAAAACTTAATATCATGGCTAAAACCACCCAAAATTTGGTTTAGAGTGCATATTGATTTTTTTGAAAAAAAGAAGCAAATAGATTTTTAATAATTTTTGACAGCTACTCAAAATGGGTGGATATTCATTTAATGTCATCTACAACAACTTTGGTTACTATTGAGAAACTTAAGATAATCTTTTCTATGATGGGCGTACCTAACCAAGTAGTTAGTGACAACGGTCCACCATTTAACTCAGCTGAATTCATCAAATTTTGTCAAGCAAATGGGATTGACCCAGTTTTAACCCCTCCTATTCACGCTCCATCTAATGGAACTGCAGAAAAAGAGGTCCAAAATATTTTAAAAAAAAATTAGATAGGCAACTATATGATGAATCCAAAGCTAATTATTCCCTATCTATGTCAGCTAGATTAAGCCAGTTTTTACTTACACATAGAAATACACCAATTACGACCACTGGATGAAATTATTGTCTTTAAAGTAAAGTCTCGTACACGTTTAGATCTTTTAAAACCTGATATTAGTTGTAATTCAACTAAACATAAGTCTGATCCAGTGTTAGTGAAGTTCAGAAAAACAGATACATTTTGGGCATATGACATTATTATAAAAGTGTGAAGTCCAGTGACATATTTAATTAGAGTCAATGATGTCAAAGGCATGTTCCATTGTGACAATATAAATAAATGTAAGGATTCTTTAGCATTAGAACATAAGTACTTTACTGTTAGTCCGGAGTTAGAAACGTCATCTCAGTGGTCACCGACTAAATTACCTCAACCTTCTACTACATCGATTTCGGAAGCGGATGATGTTGCCTGCCATTCAGGGAAAAACTTTGAGATAGTCAATAAGTCTCCAGTAAGGAGAAGTCTTCCTCAAAGCCCACTCGAGCTTCAGCAAGATGTTTATCACGATAATCCTGTTGATCCCGGAGTGACAAATGTGGTACGGATTTGACGTTAAGAACCCCAGGGTTGCGTTAGAAATAACACTCTGGGTGTGAGAGTGACCCTAGAGTAACTCTAAACCGTTCAAAAATTAACAGGTGCTTACTCGGAGCATTACGCTGGAATCGTCCAAAAATCGAGAGTTGACTTGCCCAGAGTGCGCCCAAATTACCCCACTCAGGGACTGGGTTGAAAAACGCCTCACGGTTTTTACCGGGTCTGACGTGATTCTAAGGTTATTTTCATTATGATTATTCTTA